CTTTCTTCTCTGGCTCAAGTGGAAGATTATAGACTCAAAGGACCCCCCCCCCTCTTTTTTTCTTTTTCAAAAATTTGCACCGCTGAAGAGCAGCTGTTTGTAACAGGCAAAGCCTGTTCGCAGTTGAAGGGCTCTGGAGCATTTTATCACAGGGGCAATCACAACTTAGTGAGTTGCAAGGTGGGATTGGGAACACAGATGGATCACTGAGCTGTTTTTTTTGTGTGTGTGAGAGAGAAATTATGAACTGTTTTAATTTCCTGGAATCAAGGTTTTCTTTCAGGAGGTGAGTTGCACAGCCTTTATTCAACTGAACAGCTCTAATATTGAGCCCAATTTGCAGCCAGTTAGGCCAACAGCATACTTCACTGCATTACATTCGGTCAATTTAATGTGCTTTCATTTACAAAGATATGGCCTTGCCATTAATTCCAGTACTTACACATTTATAACCTACCTTTATGCCAAACAACTGTGATAAGATTTATGTGACCGGGTTGATAAAGCGATATATTGTTTGAGTCTTTTAGATGGACAGAGAAGACGAAACTTTGCCATTTTGCCTGCCAGTGTAGTTCTCTGTAAAAAGTGCCAGGCGCTGTCCCAAAGAATTCAATCTTCTTTTCCTTGTGCTTCTCCTTTTCTTTAAAACTGTGGACAAAGCTTCAGCTGACTGTTATATGACAGACCTCCTCTGAGGAATCTTTCCAGGAAAACAGAACGCTTGAGATTCCATTTCAGAAGTAAAGCACTTGGATTGAAATGTGCTTGCATCAGTTCCTCCAAGGCAGAATATTAAAGAGCTGCCTGTCCATTAGAAGGAGGAGGAGGAGGAGGAGGAGGAGGAGGAGGAGGAGGAGGAGGAGGAGATCCACTTGCATGATCACTATTTCAGTAAACAATTATATATTGGGTAGAAATACCACGACACAAGTTGTATTCTAACACTCTTGTAGGCCTGTCCTCCTGAAGTGGAGGCAGAAATAACTGGGGTCAAACAGCGACTGTGGGCTCACCTCATTCTCACCTTCCACCCTTTATAAATTTCAGCTGGGGCAATGCAGAATCTGAATCTGAACAGGAAAAGGTGTGTCACAGGACATCCACGCAACACCTGTCCGCAAGTTCCTGGAGCAGCTGCATTTTTCCCCAGGACTGTGTGGCCACCCTATGCAACCTTGGGAAAAGATGGGTTTGGTTTGAGGAAGTGCTAAATTCATCTCCAGATGCTTTGAAGCACCTTTTCTGGAATCTGAAGCATTGCACGGCCCTATTTTCAACATTAAGAATGTTAGGTAGCAAAACTCAGTTTCTTACTGTTTGTTTTCAGGATGGGGCAGCTTCAGCATTGATTGGCCTGTTCAGCATGGTTTGGTAGAGTGGGAGTCGCAGTCTGGTGACACCCAGCATGTGTACACATGGCTTCTGATTTAACGTGACCGTGCAACTTATCTCAAAGTCTAGAAGAAAAGATGTACATAGAAATTCATACAGCCTGTTTAAAAAGCATACTTCCAGTTCCTGTGGAATTAATTGGAGCCAGTTTGGTGTCGTGGTCAAGGGCCCAGGCTAGAAGCCAGGAGACTGTGAGTTCTAGTCCTGCCTTAGGCACAAAGCCAACCGCATGACCTTGGGCCAGTCCCTCTCTCTCAGCCTAGGAAGAAGAGAGCCATGGCAAACCACTTCTCAAATCTTGCTAAGAAGGCAACCCCCCAGGCTCCCCCCTAAATGGAATTAATTACTTGTTAAGCCTTCATATTTTAAATATATTGTAGAGTACTTTTTATCATGTCCTTTGCTTCCAAATTGGAAGCAAAGGGCATGATATTCCTTGAAATGGTTCAAGGTGCTGAAATGCCTGGACGTCTTTATGAACTCTCCATTGGTCATAAATAACTGTTGTTTAGGGCTTAATAAATTACGCACCAGTACACCATGGTTGCCTGTGATGGAGTATGACTGAAGTGTTCACAGTCACAGTCGGTCATCTGTGCCATTGTGCTGTTACTGGCTTTTCTTTCCCTCCGTTCTAAGAAGAATGTATTTACTCCTTAAAATGAAGAGAGAAAAGAGCAATTAGCAAGAAGCAGAAATAGTGAATTGAAGAAATATGCCAAAACAAATCACCTCTTGTTTTGCTATCTTTTGGGCATCACTTGTAACTCTTTATGAATAGCCTGGTTTCTCTATACCATGTTTATTTTTATAAACATGGTATATACGTGGTATAAACATCTCTGTCACAGTCCTTTTTTACCCACAAGTTTGCATCTTTCTGTACTGGGAAGTGCTCTTTGCTCTCCTCACATAATTCTGTCTGTATCATTTTGTTTTGAAGTGCAATTGCCAATACTACTATTATTCCAAAAATAGTCGCATCGGAGATTTATCTAAAGGAGTATATCATAGGTATATCATAGGTATATCACAGGAGGATCATGAGGAACTTCTGTGTATGTATACATATATGCATGTGTGTGCATATGTGTGTGCATGTGTGTATTTCTGTTCCTCATGATCCCAGTGTGCTCTTTGCATTTTGCATAGGAGCCTCCCGCAGGACAACAATATTTATTGAACAAATTATATAATAAACAGCCATACAAATAAATAAATATTAAAATAGTTCTAGCACCAACATTTTAAAAAAATCAGTGTGGGCATTCATTCTTTTAGACTTGCTTACATTGACCATACTTTAGGTCCATGACAGACAGATAATATTCAGAAGCAGCTTAGACAGAAACATCTCTAATTCACTGAGGTGTAAGAAGTGGGAGAGGTACAGTACAATCAGACTGGCAAGATCCTGTTATTTTACTCAGTCTCAATAAAAGTCGTTTTAGTCTTCAGGTGGAGTTGATTTCCTGGCCTGATCTACCTAGTGTGGCTGACATTCCCAAGAGGTTCACCCAAGGCATGAAGAGCATCCCAAGTGAAGCAAGCAGGCACTTATGTTGGGCAGGATTGATATTGGAAGATGTTGGAGGCAGATGATCACTTCAGTGAAATGGCAAAGAACTGACCTTGAAGTAGTGGATAGTTCCTGCTTTTTAGGATAAAACTTTGAACAGTGAAGGAACTGGTAGTCAAGAAATAAGCTGCAGGCTAGCACTTGATAAAGTAGCCATGAAGGTCTTGAAAAAGATATTCCGATGTTGTGATGCATCTGTATCTACAAAGATCAGAATTCTGCAAGCCGTGAAATTCCCTGTGACGCTTTATGGAAGCGAAAGATGGACTTTGAAGAAGCAGGATAGGAGGACTATCGATGCTTTTGAACTTTGGTGTGGCAGAAGACTCCTGAGAATACCATGGAGATCCAAGAAAACAAACAAATGGATTACTGAACAAATCAACCCAGAATTCTCACTCAAGGCACAAATGATCAGATTCAAATTATCATACTTCAGACATATTATGTGAAGACCTAACTCTCTGGAGAAGTCTATAATGCTGAGAAAATTGGAAGGAAAGAGAAGAGGACTGCCCCCAGCAAGGTGGATGGATTCGATTACAGTGTCAATTGGTGCAGTGCTGGAAGACCTGAAGGATCAGGTTGGGAACAGATCCTCCTGGAAAAGATCTATCTGTGTGGTTGCTAAGAGTTGACACTGACTTAATGGCACATAATCCCATAGCACATCCCTGATTGTTTTATTATTACCATGCACTGAAGCATGAAGATAACTATCACTAACTTAAGAATTTCTATTTTCATATGTATCTACAACACACTAATTCATACTTTCTGACAAAGATTTTAGATCTTTCATTCATCATTAAACTTACATCTTCACTTTCATCAACTCCACTTCACAGGATCGGACTGCCTTCATTTTGACTATCCTTCTCATTTCTCTTATTTGCACAAACACACAGCACATATTTGATTAGGGGAGGCAGCAATATTGTTGGATAACATAGATTTTCTATACCCATTTCAGTAGTAGTTTAGGCATATATTTTGGTTCTTAAGTTGGGCTGGATCTGGGTTGATCTGTAACTTTTGTTCTGGAATTTCACCCATGGTATTATTTTGGATAGATTGTGTGAGCAGTACATGAAGATTTCTCTTTGCAGTGGTTCTGCCGTACATGGATCATGTCTCTAGAAGATGATATGAGGAGATTTAATTTCATGACAGTTGTACTTTGAGATCCTGTATGATTCCATCTTTTTCCCTGGACTGTTTAATAGCTACACGTAACTCATGAGTGAGGTCAAGCAAAGATTTAGAGTACAGCGCCATTAATATGCTGATGATTGATAGACATGTTTATGCCGCCTTTTTATCAGATTCAGATAAGGAAGTGAAAGCATTTAATCGAAGCCTGGGTGTATAGTAACGGGCTAGACAAGGATCAATAAACTAGAGACAATCAAGATAAAACTGTATTATTCTTAAAGGATAGTTCATCTGTTTGGATGGGTGGTATACAGCGTGTTCTTCAAGGCTCTGCATCAAACTGGCTGTCTGTGAAATTTATCTTTCTTATTAGAGATACAATTTAATGCCCTTTGCTAGAAGCTTACCTTTGGCCAACCTAAGTTTAGATATGAACTACGATCCTACTTGGATGGAGATAACATATCTTTAGTGAACAGTGACCTAGTACCCTGCTGTTGAGATTACCGCAAAGTGTTCCAGCACAGGATTCCTGGTTTAACTGTGGCTTGATTTACATAGATTTTGTATTTTTTATTTTATGTCTCTATTTGTGATAAGGTGACTTATATACATCTTAGAAATAAACGAATTAGCAAAATAAAATAGGCCTGGAAAAAAAAAGAACAGCATTTTTTTTTTGCCCATATAAATTAAAAAGAAAAGATTTAGTGGTAACCAATAGATTTACATCTAACGGCCAAACACCATTCCTAAGTTATCAAAATTATGTTGATTCCTTTGCTGTTAAAGAATATTATCAATGTTACTTTTGGCTTCTGTGTGAATATTGATTTCCACAACCACTGATGTTGTTCTTTTACTACTGCAGTGTACAGACTCAAATTCAAATGTGAGGAAAAGAACGAACACCACGGTGCAGCCAGATCCGGAGACTGCCAAAAGGGTTGACCCAGGAGACAGTTCAATGCCTTCTTCCACAGTAACTCAGGGGCCTTTGGACATCATGCCCCGATCGCCTTCAGCTTCAAGCCCAAACCCGTTCAGCCGAATTAGCATATCAGAAACATTGGCTTCAGCAAGAGCAACCCCTTCAGCTCCGCCATCCACCCCAGTTTTAACGGGTTATATTGCCCAGCAGGGCACCACGGGATCTCCATCCATCCATCATTTACTTGGATCCAGACTGGAGCAGATTCAGACTACCACAAATGCTTTGGGAGCGCCCGCAAAGTCCCCATGCCTCAGTTCTCCTCCTGCTCCATCAGCCTGCAGCTCTGGCACCAGTAAGATAGACAAATATGCACGCATTTTGTTTCCTGTCACTTTTGGAGCATTTAATATGGTCTACTGGGTGGTTTATCTATCCAAGGACACCATGGAAAAGTCAAAAAATCTAATGTAGTCCTGCTGCTATGTAGTAGCTCCTTTCTTCCTTGCAGTTTATTCTAAACATGTATGGATGCAGAGTTTCTTCTTTTAAAAGTATTTTTTAAAAAGGAGTCTTTTAATGCTGATTTTTTAAACAAAAAGCTCTGTGCTCATTTTCCCATGGTGAAGGGCAGATATTCTTAGATTATTTTAACTCAGCAAATGTTGGGGAGGGAGGGAGGCTATAAAGAGTGTCTTCCAGGCCCTCTCCAAAGGCCATTTTGTATGAACAAACTCCATTGGGCCATTGGGAAGAACAGAGATGGGATGTAAATCAACTGCAGATGCCTACAGATGTGCAAGAAAATGGGCTGGTTTTTTCTAAATGTATACACTGATAAGTGGAAACCTGTATTTCCATTACTTAGCTTCACCACTGTATGCTCCAATGCGGGTTGTGGTACCTGTTACTTGGATGTTTATCCAGATCTTTGTTGGTACAGGCCTTCCTTTAACAAATATTTGGATAGCACAATCTCAAATGCCTGTCTGTTCAAAGGGAAGCCCCCTGAGGGTCATTGGGCTTATTTCTCAGTAAATAAGCAGAGAATTGCAGTTTTCATCAGGTATTGTGTCTGTCTGATGATTATACGCCATCAAGTCTTTTTCGACTCCTAGTGACCACCTAGATAAATTTTCTATATGAATTGTGTCTGAGAAGAAGCAAAAGAATCTTAAGTGATTGTATAAGCAGAAAGGGTATAAATGTAATTATAAATTAAATAATAACTTTATATTTGGGAATCTTTAGGGATGAAAACAATGATACAAAGGTTGTGGGAGATATGTTTTATTAAGTTGTTTTATCTACTAATATACGGGTTATTATGTCCATGAACAGGTGGTTTTTAAAGAGGTGGTAAACTATGCAAACCATCTTTTGCTAACAGGTGAGGAATATGATCTAGTCAAGGTTAGGTATTTGGAGAATATCTGATAAATAAACATGAGATGTGAAAATGCTTAACTTAGGCTGAAACTAGATCTTCTCTTATTGAAGGGAACCTCCTGGGGTAGGTAGGACATCATTACTACGTTAAGAACGTTCTGAGTGAATAAACTGCCAGCCAGCGGTACAAAATGCCATGATGTGATGAGTTCTCCTGCCTTAAAGTCTTAAAACAGAGACTGGAGGGTCATCTGCCAGAGAAGCTAGGCAATGGCTTGGAGTAGATGATTTGTAACATACATTCCAACCTTATGATTCAACTCCTTCATATATGCCTTGAAATATTTAAATCACACTTCCCCAACCCAGTACTCCTCAGGTCATAGAATCGGAGAATATGAGTTGAAAGTTACTTTGGGAAC